GGCTTAACGTGACTGCAATCTACATTCGGTACTACAGAACTATGGCTCATGGGAACTACGACTGACTGAGCACACAGAATAGTCGACAGATTGCAACTGAATTGGGGTGACCCTTTACTTTGTGTACTTTCTTTCATTTCCTGAATTGACTGGACACTCACATACCTCCACCCTTCCTCATCCTGTGCAATTAACAAGGCAGCTTCTACACCCACTCTTCATGATGCCTTACCGAACTATGCATGGAAATTAGTAATAAGAGCCAATGTAAATAGGGCCAACCAGATGCACAGTGCACTTTTGGCATTCTCTTTATGACACTTATCAGCCTTGAGACTAGCAGACACTGTGAGAAGTGTATCCAGTTTCATTGATGCCGGGGTAGCTCAGTCAGTTCAGTGACTGAGTTATGATCTGGAAAACTAGTGAATGTGGATCCAATTCCAGCCAGGGACAGATATTTTTCTCTTAAAAGCAATGTCCACAATGGCTCTATAGCCCATTTAACCTCCTATTCAATGGTTACCACTGGCTTTATTCCTGGAGGTAAAGCGGCTGCAGCTGCAGCCATGAAACTGACCACTGATCAAGAATGCAGGGAGTTACTTATCCATTCCCACTATGTATTCATGGCGTGGTGCTTAAGTAAGCCTAGTCTTCTGACTAACTTATGTCAGGTTTGCCCTTGAAAAGGCTGTAATTACTCAGCTGGTCAAGAAACTCCCTGCCTTAAGGGATCTGATGGGACATTACCATGTTCTTATGCCTATCATTTTATCCTATTCTGAGCATGTTCAATCTCTTTCCAAAACTTCACACCTTATTACTTGAAGAGCCATTTTAATACTATCCTCCCACTTGTTTCTATTTCTCCTCTGTAGTCTACTCTCTTGTAGCTTTTGCAGAAAATTTTGTACATATTTCTCAGTCCTCCATCTGGGCTCTGTCACCCCAGCTCATCCTCCTTGATTTAATTTTCCCAAGAATATTCGACAAAGAGTACAGATTATGAAATCCTTCATCATACAGGGAGATAGAAAAGTCACACACATCAAACTAAAAGTTGTTATATATATCTCCTACCGCTAGATGGTACTGTAGGAGTACTAACAATGAGTAGAAACGCCATCTGCCGTGTATCAGACATACAACGTCTGCAATATAGCTTTGTTTATTGTGTGACAGATATGTCATTTTCCCAAGAACGAGTTTTCATTGTGGAACATTATTTTGCCGGTCGTTCTTATGCACGTGTTGTAGACGAGCTTCGTTAGGAATATTTGGATTCTGCAGTTCCTAACAATTTGACGATAACGAGAATAATCAACAGATTTCGGGAATGTGGATCAGTTTCAGATAGGAAGAGATCCGGGAGACTGGTCATTTTGACTGAAGCTAAACTGGCTGACGTGGAGAAAATGTTGCAGCGTTCCCCTTCAGAAAGCCTGAGGAGACTATCAGTGCAATCAGGGATTTCGTACAGGAGTGCTCAGAAGGTGATGAAGAAGTTGCACCTTCATGCATATTGTGTTTGCTGTGTGCAGGAACTGACGGACCTGAATAAAGAAAAACGCTTAGTGTAGTTTGTTGGCAACCATGGAATTGAAGAGTTTGATCGGGTTTTCTTCACTGACAAAGCATGGTTTCACCTTAGTGGCTACGTGAACAGTCAAAACAATAGGATTTGGTCATCTGAAAATCCACATGTGTTACATGAAAAGCCCTTGCACTGTCAGAAAATTACAATGTGGGGTGCTTTATCACATCGTCGAATAGTGGGCCTAATTTTCTTTGAAACAACAGTGAACAGTCCAGTGTACCAAGATATCATTACACAGTAAACTGCACTTCTTGAAGATGATGAACGTGAGTGTTGCTTGCAGCAAGACGGTGCCACATGTCACACATCTAAAGAAACCATGCAGTCTGAGGTAGTATTGTCCTGGTGACTTCACAGCACCGCATCCCATATTGTCCCTGTGCTTAAGTATTTAAGCCCTACACAATTAAGGCATATGGGAGAGTGGATGTATTAAACATATGTAACTGTTCTAATTTGAAATTAACTTTTCAATCATTTCCTCACAATTTAGAACATCCTAGCTTAAAATCATAAAAGTTCAGCTAAACTGTTATAGCTTTTTAAATACAGGTAGTTTGACTCGTGCAGACATTTGGTTCAAACGTTATGGTTTTTATTTTGTAAGCACCATTTGACTCTTCTAATTGACAATTCACTAGCAGTGGAATTATGAATGAAGAAGGTGTTAGACCTGGGGAATATATTTACAGTTTGCAAGAAAATATCAACAGCATTATGAGAAAAAAATAACCTGACCTCAAGAATATACCCCATAAAATAAACAAACTCCGTGGCCTGTAGTCCGCAAGCGAACTATATCGACTAAGCGACTGCCACTTGTGCCAACTTTTGCAGATAGAGGGTGTCACATGGTCATCACAACGGATCCCTAGAAGAATATACCACATTTGTGACATAAATACTAATTCAGTTTTGTATATTTATGGAAAGAATATGTGATATGGCACGAGTACCGTATGTCTTCATCTTACAACTCTTCCAATATTCTGGTGAAGAATTCCTTCAGCAGCATTATGAATGTACACAAATATAAACTCACCAAAACAAAATTAAACCTGATCATTCTGTTCAAATAAACTCATGTTATAACATATGAGAAAGAACCATCAGGATTGCTGTTATATTTCACAATAATTTTGTTTCAGCCAAGAGCATACATGCTCAGTGAGTGAGTACAAGATGGCTAAGTTGTAATCATGTGTAGAAATTAAAAAGTAAAGTTGTCCCTATGCTCAACTAATCTAGCACTATGCCATGAAGGCTTATGGGGGAGTGGATGTGTAGCAATTACAGTAAGTAAATAATCCCCATAAACTCTGGCAAAAATATTAGACTCTTCTTTGATTAAGATCATTCCTGCAAAAGAACGCACTTTAAAAACTCAAGTGCCATTTGAAAACACAGAATTTCAAAATGCTTGACAAAGCATTGTATGAAACTATATCTTCATTCAAGGTCCTTCATAGAAAATTTGGGGAAAATGCAGATTATTTTTACCCTGCAGATGGAGGTACTTGTTTCTCTGATATGCCTACAAGATTAAGAAATGTTGGCAACCACTTACAAGATTACAAAGCATGATAACTGAGAAGGCAATGATTAAATTTTTACCACTGTGTAAAAACCTCAAAGCTCCCATAGCAGATATACTTTGTAAATTGTATTAGCAAGTAAACTCATAAAAGAATACAGAAAAATATCATTTCATACCAAGTCAATGCAACAATCATGTCAGACATGCTAAAACAGATTACACGTCAGATGAATTACATATTATTCTTACTAATCTACTTGATAAGGGCGCACCATAGCTCAAGCGGTTAGTTGCTGGCTTCCCACTGCGGTGCCCCAGGTTTATCTCGGGTCTGGTCAAGTGGGATTTGTGGTGGACAAAGTGGCGCCGGGGCAGGTTTTCTCTGAGTACTTCAGTTCCCCTGCCAATCTTCATTCCACCAATTGCTCTACAATCACCATCACATATCACCTGGGGCTGGTACAATAGGCCAGAAGTGATCACAATATAAAAAACCCTACTTGATAACAACTTGTTTGTTCTTATTGGAGTCCCACAGTCTGTTACAGGATTAGTCCTTTACATGTGCAAGCAATAGCTCTGGAACACCTCATAATCTGAAAGTTCTGCACTCCATGAACAAATGACTATTGCTATTATCTGAGCTGTTGAGCTATAACGGTCACAGGCATGTCATGTTCTTTGAAATATGTCAGAATTAAGCTCTTATTTTACTGAAGGGCAAAATTTGATTTAATGTAATCAATGTAAGTTAAAATGTTAAAGTTGTCCCTGGGTCTAAGCTCCACGCCATGAAGACATGTGGAAGACTAAGGGTAAAGCTCTATGCATACCTTGGCACTAGACTGAGAGGATGGTCAGTTTCACAATACAGCTGCTTTACCACTGGCACCCACTGGATAAGAAGAAGAGTGAGCCCAAGAGCTAATCTGGTTTTGGGGGCAAAAAGAAAAATGCCTGCTCTTTTTGGGATTTGAACCCTGGTCGCTCAGTCCACATCCAGTCACTGTGAAATTTACTTTAGTGCTGATTTTAAACCTGTTTTCATTCCAAACATAGTACTGTGACACCCATGTACATGGTACGGTAACAACATCATGTTATGAAAAGGAGTAAAAACAATTTTTGTTTTCAAGTTGCAAAGAGCAGCCTTTTAAAATACTGACACCTAATAGTCTGAAGATATTTCTAGAGATATAAATTCGGCGCCAAAATGGAAGAACTTGATAGAAGTACTGACATATAACACTCATGCAATAAGAGTACTATCAGCTGATGTGCAATGTTCCCCATTCACTCAGTAAGCCTACTTGTGGACTGGGTCATACAATGACCCCTGCTTGGCTTTGCTAAGGATACTTTCTTTTATCGTTATTTCAATACAGCTGTGAAATTAATGAAGTGACAAGGAATATATACTGTATGCAATGCGACTCTTAAAATGATGCAAAAGAGCATTGTCATTTGCTGCATTTCTACCCAATCCACAAGTGGATGGATCCACAGAGTATATCAAGACTTACTATCTTCACCCAACTACTCTACCTTCCATACTCAAAACATAAAACAGAACCAAAATGAAAATAAAGTTTCCACTTACAAGAACCTCATTTTCTGGCCCTCCGCTTTCATCTGCCTGCACTCATGTGTCATCATGTTGCAGATAAAGTGCTCTGGTAGAAAAATAATATGCCCCATTTGATCATATCTTCCTATTTTAACTTAGAATTGGAGGAGTATTGGTGGCACTGGAGTCCTATCTGTGCCTGCCTGCTTAAACAGTTTGACCGCTGGTTCTTAAGATGGCCCGTTGTCAAGTATTTTCAGCCAGTTGCTCCAAAATGAAAGCTTGGTGGGTCGTACCTTCGAATTTTGATCACCCTGCTCGTTCAAGATGCTATTTCCTATCCTCTGGTTAATGCTTGAATTGTTACTGCCCCCTCGGCCCATTCGAGTGGAAGCAGGGGTTTGGTGATGGTGGCCTTTACGTCCAGTAGATGAAGAGAATGAAGCATCCTTGCCTTTACCACCAGAAATTGATTCTCTCTTGTTGCTTCCTGACACATTAGATGAGAAACTACTTTGGTGGGAAGGAGTCTCTACTCGACCCTTGCTCACAGAGGAAGATATTGAGTCACCACTGGATTTCTTTCCACTCAGAGAATCACAACCACGGGCTTTTCCTGTCAATGTTGTGAAAGAGTCTCGACCTTTACTACAACTGTTTAATGAGTCACGACTATTATTCCTTCCTAAAAGGGATGAAGTTCTTCCACCACTTGGAGATTCTCGGCTTTTCACTCCTCCAGTAAGGGATGAATTGTTTTCACTTTTATTTTTCCATGAGGACTCTCTAACAGTGTTCTTTCCAGAAAGAGAAGAATTTGAGTCCGTTCTACTCTTCAGTGAAGGTGATCCCTTGTTTCGGCTTGATGCCGATGCAGATTTTCCACTTGGAGGTTTGGGAGCACATATTGATTTTGTTCCTGGAAGTGGGATCTTGCTGGGGCGTCTCCTTGGTGACATTTGCTGGGTCTCAGAAGTTTTCTTTGCCTCCCCTTGATCACTTGTGCCTTCTTCAGATTGTACCCCTATGGTGTGATCATGGGCTGACTCAGTACTGCTGCTATGATGTATGTTGTCATCTACAGCCATTGGAAGGGCTAAGAGTGGAAGGACTGGGTTAGTTGTGGCTTCAAGAGGAAAGACTGTAGCAGTGTCTTCAGATGCCTTCTGCTGGAGACGTTCCAGTACTCTAACCTGAGCTCTGGTCCCCTCCAGTTCTATGTTCTTCTCTTCCAGCTGGAAAGATGCAGAAAACAAAGTTAGATATTGAACAAGTTGGATTTGGGCTAGAGAAAGTCAACTTGTGTATTTTTAACACTTTTCATGCAACTAATTATCTGCATTATGATCTTCTGGGATTCATTAGATGTGTTTTAGATGAACCTCCTACCACTAACTCATCTACCAAATCATACAGTGCCATAACTGAGAGAAGAGCAGTCTAGATACTTAATGCTGTGAGAACCCCAAATCTGTCAACTAATTCTGGTAACAGATCCCGAAGATTCAACATCACTAATACCAGATCCTATCATTGGACATGATCTAGTGATGGTTCCTATCTGACTGCCCGGATTCCAATGACATGTAATCTTTCTTTCCTTGTATCCTATGCGATGCTCTTAAATATATAAATCTTGGTTATGAGCTGCTGGTTATAGAAATGTAAATTTTATGGGTATTTTTTTTGTCATTTTTTGACATTTTTTAGGTTTAAGGTAATTTTTTCATTTGGGGGGTAATTTTTGGGCAAATTTTTTGGGCTTTTGAGGGTATTTATTGTCATTTTTGGCCATTTTAGGGAATTTTTCATGTTTTATGAAATGTGAATAATATGGAAGCAAAGTGTTCTTTCTCTTTCTCCTAAGCGCTCTTTACAAAGGCCATAGTATACAATAATAGGTTGTAATCCTGGCCCGTCCTTTCCATTCGTTTCTCGGAAGTGCTGACAATACATACCATAAAACAGGGTACGACGATGACTACTCACACTGCGGCTCTTTGTACAAAGCAATTTGCTTAGTTACACATATTTCTAGTCAGAATCTCTTGCTTCATATGACACTGTTGTTCAATAAAACTCCTTCTGTCTTCAGTTCCTCGCCCTTGACCGTACAGATAAAGATACAGTTGACAAAAGGTTCTCGGTGGGAAAAGTTCAGTTCTGTGTTGCGCTAGGGTGATTAATTTTATCACGATGCCAAAAGCAAAGCCAACTAAATTGTGTCATTTAAAGAAATTTGTAGCTGAGTTTGGAGATGACATAGTTTCAACTGATGGTGACATTTTATACTGCAAGATGTGTGACACAAAAGTAGCGGCAGAAGAAAGATTCGCGGTACAACAACATATCGGCCGCGACAAGCATATACGAGCAGTGCAAATTTCGAACGAAAAGAAAGCTGTGCAAATGTTACTGCAACAGTGTTCATCTGGAGGAATAAGTCATCGGATTTTTTTTTTTTTTTCAGAGATCTGTGTGATGCTCTGGCGTCCGCAAATATTCCGTTTTGGGCTCCGAACAATGGAAAACTGAAAAAATTTCTGGAAGTAAACTGTGGTCGTTCCATCCCGGATGAATCCACACTCAGGAAGAACTACCTTTCCCAGTGCTACAACAGTATCCTGGAAACGATTAGGAATAAAGTGCGTGGGAAGAAGATTTTCGTTTCCATTGATGAGACCTGCGATACAGAGGCTCGCTACGTGGCAAACGTCATCTTTGGAACCTTGGAAATTGGCGGACCAGGTGAAGTGTTTCTGCTTACGAGTGAGGTGTTAGAATCCGTTAATCATTCCACAATTTGTAACCTCTTCGACAGGTCGATGTTTCTACTGTGGCCAGTGGGTATACGGCACGACGACGTCTTGATTTTTGTGACCGATGCAGCCTCATATATTGTAAAAGCAGGCAAGTCAATAAAGTCGTTTTATACGAAATTGGTGCACGTTACTTGCCTAGCATATGCACTGCATAGTGTGATGGAGGAAGTGAGATAAAAAAATTTCCCCAAGTGGATGCTCTCGTGTCGTGGACGAAGATTTTCGTCAAGGCTCCAGCTCGTAAAATGCAGTTTAAGTCTATGGCTCCTGGTGTTCCACTGCCCCCGGAACCCGTCATCACAAGTTGGGGAACGTGGATTGATGCTGCAGTTTACTATTGCGATCATTTTCAGGTAGTGAAGAACACTGTAGATTCAATGAAGACGGAGGATGCGAGGGCAATTGAAGCTGCTCAGGAACAGTTCTCGTGCAGCGAAATGGAAGGACAGCTGGCCTTCATAAAGGCAAATTTCAGTTCCTTGACGGAAAGAATTAAATGCTTACTGGAGAAAGGAGCAACACTAGAAGATTCGCTAGCTCTGCTGAAAAAAATAACCAGTGATTTGGAGAAAGTGTCAGGGAACATTGGTAAATGGTGTCAAGAAAAATGAATATTATTCATAATGTTGTATTTTAGCGTCCTGTCGCATTGATTTTCATCCATGATATGTATACAGTTGCCGTCTTGTAGTGCACTCAATTTCACCTGTTACTTCACGACATGTTTCGGCAACATAGTGCCATCATCAGGTGCCCTAATTACGCTAATCTATTTCATTGCTTGCCATTATAAAATTATTTAAAAAAGAATTTAAAAAGTGCGTATTTGTCAACTATAATGAATTATAATTGAACTATAACTGAGTGCATTACAAGACGGCAACTGTATACATATCATGGAAGAAAAATGAAAAGTGTTCTGGATAAAAACTCAGGTTATGAAACATTATGCAGCATTTCTCGAATTCTGTCAGGAGAGTCCTTCAGCGCTTTCAGTACTGAAGAAGAACTTATTGCTAGTGATTTGGTACACTTCAAGGACGCTGTGTCTGCAGATGTTGAAAGGAGTTTCTCCAAGGACAAGAATGTGCTGTCGGACAATACGCGCTCTCTCACTTTCGAGAATCTCCGCATGTTGACCGTCATCTATTGCAACTCTGAATGAGGTGGCACTTAAATGTTGGAATGCATACCGCATGTGTACATTTGATAAGCATTCTAACACGATAGAAAAAATATTTTGAAACATTTAGCTTCAAATTCAATCAATATTGCTTAATTTTCAACATGAAAACGAGGACAAACTTAAAAGAGTAAGCATTAGTTCAGTGTTAATAAAGATTAAAAATACATTTTAAAATAATTAGTAGATATTCTGACATATTACATTTTTGGGTCATATTTTAGATCATTTTTCTGGATTTTTTCAGTAATTTTATACGTCATTTCTTAAATGTTTTCAGGTCATCAAAATCTGGGCCCTGGTAATCATATACTTGTAATTTATATTCTTCCTTCAAAGAATGATATCACATTTCACACCACTACAAAGAAACGATAATGTTATATATTATAAATATTGTGATAGTTTCTATTTTCTGTTCCCAGATAAGAACTTTAAAATCTGATACGTTTTCAAATGATTTATTACATATGATTTTTTATCCTAATTCCATACAATTATGAGAGAAATTCGTATGTAAGTAAAAGTAAAGGTACCCTCAAATAGGCCGTGAAGGTCCATAGGGTTGCGAGATGTTGATGTTCCCACATTTTCTAGACAATCGGCTCACAGACAGCGGCAAGGTTGTCAGCCTTATGCGCTGTCCGCCCGTTACCCCCAAGAATATTCCAAGAATATTCCTGGTACTCATTTCTGTTAGAGGCTGAGTCGACCCCAGGACCATAGTGTGGCTGGAAGGATTAGGTCAATAGAAAAAATCCAATGACCTCATCGGGACTTGAACCCACAACCTTCTGGCTTGTAGCATAGTGCCTCAACTGACTATGCTACCGCATGCCCCGAGAGGGAAATTCCTACAATTGAACATAATGGCCTAAGATTCTGCATACACACACACACTGTCATAATCACCTTACATGGTGGAGAATAATATGCCCTGAACTGTAAATACGTTTTACTAACTACAAAATCAATCAGGAAAAGGTAGCAAGTAAATTAAGTACATTCATACCCATCATATCAGACACTGAAAATGGCAAGATTCCAAAATGGGAATAAATTTGTCAGAATAAATTAGTCCATCTCTAATTATACATTTTGGATTGTGAGTAGTACAAATTATAATCTTTCAAAGATCCAATATTCAAAATCATTAAATATTTCAAACATTCACAAACCTGGAATCTGAGGTCATCATTCTCATCCTTCATCTTTTCCAACTGCTCTACTATGTCCACATGAGATTTCTCAGTTCTCTCAAGACATTGGTGAAGAGCCTGTAAACAAGTTCACAGTTCATATTAAAGAAAGAGAAACTTCTGGATTGCTTGGCTTTTGGACTTTGCTCGCCATCTGGTACAGATGGAAGAACACAACATTCAGACACAGGAACTGTTTCCACCCTCAGGTGAATAGGTTACAGGATCCAGTTCCCGTAACATTTTGTTTTGTTCAGAATACTAGAGGACAAAGTCCAGAGAAACAGTAATTCTAAGTGTAACTAACCCCTTCTGTACTATAAGCACATATATACACACACATACTTTTTCTTTTTCAGTTTTGTGGGATGGGGTAAAACTGAGTCCATTTGCTACTCTGTCACTAATTGGCATTTTGTACCATCCCATGATGATAGACAAGTAAGAAGCATTTTGGTGGAATGAGAATCAGCAGGGTAAGCTGAAGTACTCAGAGTAAACCTGCCCTAGTGCCACTGTCAACCATAAATCCCAAACAACTTGACGTGGGACTGAACCCAGCTGACAATTAACTGCCTGAGCTATGGCAGGGCTGTGTATATATATACTTTCTTTCACAAGTTAAGATATGTAAAGTTAAGCTACATTACATTAAATAGATTATGTTCAGGTAGATCAAGTTACAAAAGTAGTTAGGTTAGATTACAAACATATAATTTACATATGTCTTTTGCACTTATTTATTTTGGGGCACGCGGTACAAGTCGGAAGGTCACAGGTTCAAATACCGATGAGGTCATTGGATTTTTATCAATTGATCTAATCCTTCCAGCCGCAGTATGGCCCTGGGGTTCACTCAGCCTCTAACAGAAATGAGTACCAGGAATTAAATAAATAATTTTCCTGGGGAGTAAAGCAAGGCTGGCGCGTAAGGCTGACAACCTCACCACCATCTAGATAATGTCTCACAACCCTATGGGCCTTCATGGCCTGTTACAGGGATAGCTTTACTTTTTTTTTACTTACTTCTTTATTTTGAATTAGGCAAAGAAACTCAACATGGGAATTATTAATATAACATTATCAGAGCTGTTCAGGATTTTTTTTCTTCTTTGCAAGAAACAAGAAAATTTGCTCCCAAATTCACACAATCTGACAGACTCTTAAACTGGTCTAGTAATAATCAGTGCTGAGCACTGGAACTGCTTACATCCACATAATGAAGTGTGTTACAGCCATTTACTTTATAAAACTTAAAAAAACCATTCTTTTACTGCCTTCCCATAGAACATTCTATGACTGTACTGTATATGTACTAAAAAGTTACTTAATTTTGCATTAAAAAAGAGCTTTTGAGGTTGTTGCTGTATCCAAGACATTTGAAAGTAATGACTTGTTCAACTGCCTTATCACTTATTTCTTTCTTTCCACTCTTTTTGGTTACTTTCCTTGACATGCAATGCAGTCTTCTCAGATGATCATGTGTGTGTGAACATTAACCCAGTGTCTGATGTTTCAGAGACTGTCTCCACCTCCATCATCAGAGGGTTGTGTGCTGAATGTTGCAGCTGCAAGTCATTCCCCAGCTATTCACGTTTATTTTGCAGACACCTTCACAAATTATGCAATTCACCATTAATTCAGAAAATTAAAATTATACAGTTCTTGTTTCAAGCCACAGTTTATAACCATTCTAAGGGCTTCATAATAACCATATGAGAAGGACAAGCAGGTGAAGCTCTGGAACTTTCTATTAAAATGATGCTCTTTATTCCCCCTAATAGGGTCTCTCCCCTCTCCTCCCCCACTTAACTTGCCTTTCTACTGTTCTTTGTTACACCCTATCTCCATCTTCCTCTCTCTCTCTAAAAATACAACATGCAGCCTCCATGCTCACCACAGCAATCCCTGATGATGGCACACCATATCTAACTCCACATTAATACAGCTGATCACCGCAAAATTGTGATTGAATACAGCAGGAGCTGAAGAATCAAATCACATATTTCCTTGTTCCTTGTTTTTGTACTTGATTTCTGTATGTTACATTTCTTCACCATCTCGCATAATTCAAACAAACATTGTACTGCAAAGATTGTTGCAATGTTTGTAACATTCTGACCCTGTTATTATTACCTGTTTTTAGCCAATAGTAAGGCAGTTTTGAGGAATGAAATATTATCCAGTTTTGTTTCCTGCTCCTTTTCTCTGTATTGAGGTATTGACAGTTTACAGAGGGTGATGTGGAAAGTCTTTGTTCTGCATTATTTCATATAAAGTAAAAAGTAAAGTTATCCCTGTACTTAATTAATTAAGGATCACACCATGAAGATGAATTAGAGAGTGGATGTACAAATCCACCATTTTCAACCTCAGCATTATAATGGAGGGGAAACAGCCACAGGTATCATTTGTGCAGGAGGTTGGGTGGGTCCCAGAGCTGGGCTTACATTTACGCATAGTAATATACATAAGGTAAGTGTTCTCTGTACTTAATTAAGTACTATGCCATGAAGGCATATGGGAGACTAGGTGTATAGTTCCACACTAATATACATATTAACTTTCACCGAAAAGAGCGGAAAGATTCAATAACAGAATATAAAATTTGAATTCTGGCTTTAAGTAAAATTTCCCTGAATATGAATTAAAGTCAATGTAGCCTACACATAGGACTAACACAACTGTCACATACTGAGTTTTGTCAAAAACTGTCAACGGTTTAAAAAAATGCAGATGTTTATTTATGACCTGAAAATTAACTGACATAATGAAAAATCAAAATGGCTTTGTAACATCTTCTGTGTAGGCCAACCACAGTGCATGTGAGTGGCCATGTAATTTAGGTGCTCAGACAGACATGACAAAACAAACAGGCCTATATGGATTTTGAATTTTAGTTTAGAAACTCACCAAAATATTCGTACAGAATCATTAGTCACTCGGCTTGCAAGTCAGCACCTCATTCAATTGGTGCCTTAGTCTGTCAGTCAACATATCAGTTAATCAGAAAGTTGGTGCAAGTCAGTCCACGAGTAGATCAGTTAGTGTAACTGTCATCGGTCACTGTGTCTCTTATTCAATCAGTTCTTTACTGTATCAGACAGCCTGTAAGTACTCAAATCCACAAGTTAGAAAGTCAACAGAGAATCAGTTCTGCATGACATGGAACCCTTAGGCATGTCGCAGGTAATTTAGTTGTGACAGTAAATTGGACATAAGAAAACACTGTAGGGGGCTCTGTGTAGATTTGTTTCTGGCATACGGAACAAGAACCGAAATGGATCTTACAAATTAGTGGCTTAGGGTGAGGACAGGTCTGATTTGCCCCAGGATAGGCTTATTCAATTACTTATTAAGGTAAATTTGTCCCTGTGCTTAACTAGGCCATGAAGGTGTATGGGGGAGTAGATGTATAGGTTAATTTTCTTGACCTTGGCACTAGTTGGAGGTGAGTGGTCAGCTTCAGCCCCCGTCCGCTTTACTCCGGTACCCATTCAGTAGGAGGTTGCTCCTTTCAATTACTTCTTACTTTACTTATCTGCATTTTATTTACCGAAGCTTGAAATAATGCCTATTACATATAGCGCCAAATGACAGGATGGTTAGTGAATAATGAAGTGGCAAGGATGTGGTAGGAAACGGTCGCGACCTTATTTCGGATGTAGCTTCGGCATTTGCCTTCAGAATCTGAGGAAAACTGGGAAAGAAAAAAACAGTATGAATAACCGGTCTCTGCGCCGAGATTCGAATCAAGGAACTTTTTTAATTGTAGAAAAAAATATTATAAATACAAAAAAGGCCTAGGCAATGCCCATCCGGCCTTCGTTAGCACATTCTTATAAACATCTTATTCTATAATAGCGGTTACCCAGTGATTGTTAATATATATCTTGACTTAAATCTGTGAATATACTGTAAATAATCAGTACATTTACTTCTTTTACTTTTCTTACATATCTATTTTATATAAATATTACACGAGTCACTCGACCGCGACGCTCGGTGGTGCGCTCTGTTAACACGGTAATGAACCCTCGCATGCCGTAAGAAGCGGGAATCTTCTGACCAACTCACCAACTACTATGGTTCTCAAGAAGGTCTCTGGGCATGGAGATGCGTTGTTTTGTCACTGCTTCAGAGTGCATCTGAAGGGGGGAATGAATAGAACGAGGGCAGTGAGTTAATGAGAGTAACAGCACGAATGCAGTCCCATCTCAAACACATCCGAACGGTAGTGTGAGGACGGTGGTTCATTGCGCTGCCGGAAGAATCATTTCTTCGTGTTCGTACGTCCGAAGACAGGAAAATAGAAAAAGCAATGGAAAAAAAACGAGGGAAAGGACAGCGATGACCTTGCTTGTCTCATTTCGCCGGCAGGACAGTCCTAGATCCGCTTACAACAGCTACTTCCTGCTACTGCAATGCCAGCGGAAGAACTCTTACAAGATCGCGTCTTCGTGCCGCATACAGGATTAGTGGTAGTTCTCAAGTCATGCAATCTCAATACGTGCCATACCACAGGCACTTTAAAGACGTCAACAGCGGAAATTGGATCAAGGCAGCCCCTCCCTTCTCCTACCTCTTGAATCCGGATTTCACAAGGTTGAGATCTTGCAGGCCGAACAAGTTCATTTAGTCGTGGGTAAAAAGGTAAAGTTATTCCTGGGCTTAATTAATTAAGCACCACGCCAAGAAAACGCACTGAGGAGTGTAAGTATAGCTCCACCATTCTCATCGTAAGTACTACGCGTAGATAAGAAAAGGCAGAGTTCACAAAACGAAATTTTATAGGCGTGATCAAAGATGTTCTGCAATTTTAAAAAAGGACTCAAAGCGAAATTATTTCATGGATGTTATAGAAGGGTTACTAAACAGCATATAATCCATTAACGCCCTATCTCCATGGACCTGAGTTCTTTTTGAATAGCTAATACTTGCTCAGCTACTGAAGAAATTATTAGAATTTTATGGAACCAGAAGGTTCATTACCGCGTTCACAACAGGTTGTCTCTGGCCCCTATCCAGACTTAGATAAATTCAGTCCACAACTTCCTATTCCTTCGAGATCAATTTTA